AGAGAATCCTCAGTCCTGGGAAAATTAAACTGACAAAAACTAAATAGACTTTGATTTGCTTTGATGGTTTTCCTTTAGGTCCAACGTGACGCTACTGCAGGAAAGTTCCAGAGATATTCCGAATGGTCTACACAGCCTTTAATTAGTCCCGGAGTCAATCAACTAAAACCTACAAAATACAAAGAAGATGACGGGCCGGCGCTAAGATGGCATGGGGCCGATGCTTAGACGCCGCTTTGATGTGGCCAGCGCCAAAACAAAGCCGGCTTTAAAGCCGGATGTACACTGTGCGATTTTTGGGGCGATTTTCCAGTCGTTCAAGAATCTTTCCATCGGGCCGACTTTCAGCCTGATTGGGTAGCGTACAGGGCGTAACGAGGGGCCATCAGCCTCTCACGACCATTGTGAGGTCGGGAGAAAATCAAACATGGTGAAAAAAAAAAAATCGCACATTGTAGGCTTGGCTTTAGATGATCCTAGGATTGGAACGAGGCTGGCGGTCAGACGAGGCCGGCGCTCGGACGAGGCCGGCGGTCGGACGAGGCCGGCGGTCGGACGAGGCCGGCGCTCAGACGAGGCCGGCGGTCGGACGAGGCCGGCGGTCGGACGAGGCCGGCGATCAACACGCTCTTTTATCCTCTCAGGGTCGTTAGTGTAGAATAATATTAGAATGAAGCAGTTCTCATTTGGTCTAATTTCAGTTCTAATTTGGCCCATTTAGAAAAAAGATTAAATTTGATTAAACTAAATCAGTCTGATAAGATTCACAAACCCCTAAATCGGTTTAAGGTAATCTCCATCTAATCTAGAATGCTTTAATCTAGGTTTGAAGAGTCTAGGATCTAGAGTAGATTAAAGAATCCTGAGGAAGCTGGAAAGTGATGGAATGATCCTTTAGCCATAATCTGTAATCTGGAGCTGGAATCTGAAAGCAGCTTCAGATTCCAGCTTTGGAGGAGGGACAGGGTTAGCCTGGACATGCTAATCGTTAGCCGGTCCTTCATTACTAACACAGCAGCTCAGTTAGCTGATCAGTCAGAGGCACCACAGGGGGGTCGTGTCCTAATGGTGGTGCCCAGCTCTGGAGGAGCTTCAGGAGCAGCAGCTCAGGTGGGAAAATGTGATGTGGGAACAACGTCTTTGTTGAGAGGAAAAATAAAAGGTGTTGGACAGCACGCCATCAGCAGTTAGAGACAGACTGCCTAGATCAGGGGTCGGCAGCTCAAAGAGCCATATTGGACAAAAAAACAAAACATAAATCTGCCTAGATGTAAAAAAGTGTTTTATCTACTATAGAAAATGACTATGTGGGTTTAAATATATAATAAACATTCATGATTAAATGTTTATCCTCGAGCAAATGTCACATAGCAGCAGGAGGTGAAGGAGGAGCCGTGAACGCTCCCATCACGCCGCTACTTCACCGCACGCCGCCTAACCGCCCTTCACCGCGCGGTTTAAGTTTAGCTGCATTGATGAAATGATAGAAAAACAGGATAAAGGAATGTTTCTATGGTGGACGTGTTTCTGTTGGGAGGAGCTGATGGAGTCACGAGGAACCAAGCAGGAAGTGACATCAGAGCAGAGCTCTCTGACCCTGAAATCCCCCATCCCAGCGTTCTTTGGTGGGATTTAGATTTTTAGGGGAAAAAATGGAAGAAAGTTCCCATCCCTGCATCAGAGCGCCACCTGTTGGATCTGTGGACGGTTTTCCATCCTTTCAGCCAAACTAGCAGCAGGAGTTTGGAGATGCAATCTACTTCTTAAATCTACATTTGCTCTCCTCTAATTGATCCAGAAGTTCTGCAAACACCTTTTCTCTCCCTCCCATCTTGGTGATCGGCTGCAGATTTAGCCGTCCCTGGAAATGCCTTTCCAAATTTATATTTTTATTTTTTGCCAACCTCTCATTACCAAGCAAAAATGCAGGCAATGATAAATAAAGAAAATGATCCGGTCCTTCCTTTGAATGCTCTTCTCTCATCAGCTATCTTCCAGCCGCCTGGCTCTGCAGCGCTGGCTGCAGGTTATGACCTCTGACCTCTACGGCTATGACGCAAATTATTGTTTACATTTATTTATTATACAAATGTTTACAGCATTGGAAAACATCATTATTGTTTGACCTCCTGCACACCATATTAAAGCAAAAGAAAAAAAAAATATTTCACATATTTTTGAAAAAGCGCCAAACGGTGCCGTCTTGGGGCCAAACGGTGCCGTCTGGAGGCCGGATGGGGCCAAACGGTGCCGGATGGGGCCAAACGGTGCCGTCTAGAGGCCGGATGTGCCCAAACGGTAGCCGGATGGGGCCAAACGGTGCCGTCGAGAGGCTGGATGTGGCCAAACGGTGCCGGATGGGGCCAATCTGTGCCGTCTAGAGGCCGGATGTGGCCAAACGGTAGCCGGATGGGGCCAAACGGTGCCGTCTAGAGGCCGGATGTGGCCAAACGGTGCCGGATGGGGCCAATCTGTGCCGTCTAGAGGCCGGATGGAATGAAGCTGCTGTCACTGAATCAGAGCCTCCAGGGACACATCTGGAGCACATCTGCCTGCAGCAGCAGCCTCCATTGAAGCGGAGCTCCAGATGCTCAGAGGGGAGGGGGTGGAGGTCAGAGGTCAGAGCAGGATCCACACTGAGCAGTCTGTGACATCTAGAAACCAAACATCTACTACTGCCTTCCTGATCACGTGACCTCTGCTGTTTCATCTTCATGTTCGCGTCTGATGGGAATCATTTCATCAAATCAGAGACTGTCAGAAAATGCCCACCCTGCCTCCAGCTGCTAGCTGCAGCCGGTTAGCTGCCGGTTAGCTTCCGTTAGATGGCAGCTGGTGATGCTGCTGGAACTGATCAGCTCCTCACAGCAAAACATGGATTATTAATCTGGTTACTGGATTAAGGAGTCGGACCGGCTGTATGCCGCGGTGCTAGCCTGTTAGCCCCAGATCACCCACACCGCCTTAGCTCCAATGCTAACTAGCGCTAGCTAATTAGCATTGGAGAAAGTCCCGCCATAGAGCCTTTTCCCGGGAAAACAAGCATGACACCGACATTCAACTTCCGCCCGGATACTTTAGGTCAACATGACGGGGCAGTTAAGGGGAAAAACTGGATGTTTGGAGCCAGAATGGAGCCGAGGGCAGCGGTTACCTTTCTCTCCTTGAGTCCGCAGAGCCGGACGGACGGAAAGCTCACCGGAAGCCGGTAGCTACTACTTCCGGCCAGATCCAGTCACGTGGAAAGTTCCCAGCGAGTTACTTCAACTTTTCCTCATCCTGTTATTTAGTCCAGGATCGGGACTCAGAAAGTTACTTTATTGGTTTAAATTTTTTAAAGAATTTTTAATTATGTTTTTTTTTTTTTTTTTTTTGTGACATTTTGTTTTGGTGAATTTAGCGCCACCTGTTGGTTAAACTGACAGCAGCTGATGTCCTGATGTAACCCTGCCTCAGTTCTATATAACCTGCTTCATGTCGCTTTGATTTCCTGTCTTATTAATCAATCAGCACATTAAAAAGCACAGCGCTGTACATAAAACAAGTTCAGCATAAATAAGAATAAAACAGACATAATAAGCAGCTCCAGCTCCATATAAAACTAGATGATAGTGTGGAAGAGGAGCTGCGGAGGACAGAGTTCTCCTTTTTAACACAAACTCCTAATGGACAATTAGCATCAATACGCCACTAATGTCCGTTCAGTTGTCAAACATTCCAATGCTTTGATCAACAGCATCAGCTGCAGAAGATAGAAGCATAAAAAAAGAAACGTTCCAGTCTGACAGTAAAGTCATCTGAAACCCTCAGAGATGCTTTTTCCTTGAAGGGAATCCTGACTGAAACGGTTCGACGTCATACTCCTCTAAAAACGAGAACAGCTGGTTACAGACGACCTTCTCTAGTATTTTGGGAATAAGTGAGAGATGGGCCTATAATTCACGCAGACATCTGCCTTTTAAAAAACCCCCTTCCAGGAAAGACTATGAACTTCCAGAATGGTTGTTCCAATGGTAGTGAGCATTGAACCAACATCTCGGGTGGTCAGCCAGGCCAACATTTCCCGCTAACGACCCCCTTTCAGAGACACAGACCAGTATCGGATTCAAACACCCTGTCTACTATATTCTCTGTGTGTGTTGCTAAGTTTAAGGCCTTTTACTGAGCCACCAATAAGGCTATATACCAATGCAGTACAGTTGCTTCTGCACAGGCTAACAAAAAAACCAAACAACCCAAATCCTAAAGAACGCGTTCCTCTGGTTTTATCTGCATGTTTTCTAACTACAACCAGGCTTTGTTGGGCTGCTGGATAAAACCTGGAACTAAACGCTATTTCTGACATTTAGAATAAAAAAACTTCCTGGATGGAAGAGAAACTCCAAAAAAAACAAAAAAACAAAGTCCAGTGGATTGTTTAACTTATTGGGAATAACTATGACCTGGATGACTGAGAATCTTTAACATATCAAAACAAAAAACCTAAAAGAAAAATGCGTAACAGTTCCAGAAGAAATAAATATCGGTGTAAAGGAGGCGACCTTCACCTGCTCCTCCTTGTTCCACAGCAGAACTCCCTCCAGGCCACGAAAGGCAGCTTCAGCCTCCCAGGCCTCATCATGGATGATGGAGGTCAGATTGGGACTACAGCCTTCAGGAAAAGAACTACAACATCCAAGCTTCCCTAAATGTGAGGAACGTTTAACTCTAAAGGGGGCTGAGCTGTACAGCCTGTCAGCAAAGGATTGTGGGAAACCATGATGCTCCTAGCTGTGGATAGGAACCTTAGGAGGTCTGTATGCTAAAGGAAGCATGACAGGAAGCATCCAACTCATCCAGCTGTATTCAGACAGACCTCTGACCACTTCCTGTTTGGCTTCATAGGATTCAGAAGGTGAGTGAATGAGGTAGAAAACCTGAATCTGTCTGGATGATCTGATTGAAGCGGATCTATAAGAGCAGCTGAGATGAAATCAACTGAGGCGACATAGAAAGTGAAATAATCTCAACCAAACTCATCCTTTTATTTGAACTCAAACTTTTACAACACAGTAACAAAAACCTAAAGGAAGAAAAGCAGGACAAGTTTCAATGCTGCAGCCACAGAACGCCGAGGATGACTCAGCATTAATCAGTGACCAATGAATGAAGACGATACAGAGGAGTGGCAGACAGGCTCTATATTACTGAACTGGTCCAAGAGTCAAAGAGCTGGCTCAGGTAGAACCATCCGGGTAGGAAGGAGGGGGTCCCAGTTCTGCTCCTAGCAGCGCTCCATCCATCCAACGTTAACGATTCAGGCCACAGACCATAGACCATGACAGCCAGGGGCCCGGGGCCCTCTAGGTTTCGTAGTTGGGGTTCTTGCGGAGGATAACGAAGCCCTCCAGGATTGGCGTGACGGGGAGGTACTCCTCTGTGGCTAGCTCCGCCCTCTCGCCATGAGCCAGCAGCACAGGCGTGGTGTGAGTCTGGAAACCCGTGATGGCCTTCGGCTTCCCTGCTTGGCCGACGACGTCCACGGCCTGAGGACACAAGACGCTTTGGATGAGAATCCAGAGGACGGGGCCCCAGGGCCAACTGGGGCCCCGTCCTCTGGATTCTACAAGCTTTCCCAGCAGGGCTTACCTGTCCAACTCTGACTGAGACGGGCAGCGGTCGCAGCTCCTCATCGAATGTGACGAGCATGCGGGGCTGCATGGCCGCCACCAGGCCGTACAGGATGTAGTGAGACTTTCCCAGGATGACTGAAACACACAGCAGCCCCGTCAGCCCCCCGTCATCAGGCCCCCGGTCATCAGGCCCCACCGTCATCAGCCCCTCCGTCATCAGCCCCTCCGTCATCAGCCCCTCCGTCATCAGCCCCTCCCGTCATCAGGCCCCCCCGTCATCAG